ATCCGTAGCGAAGTAAAATAACACAGAAAGTCCAATATCTGTACCAACATGAAATACCTGTCACTTTTTCTTTACAATAATGAATCGTAATGAACTAATCTAACCTGTATAAATTTTATAGTTCACTGAAGTTAATGTAACCACGTCTAAAGGAACAATGCATTACTCGACAATTTAGTGACATAAATTGATAAATTGAAGTTCCAAATACACACAATATTCACAAATTTTATGTAACTAGAAAAATTGTTCGTATACCGTAGACGGCAATTTGACAATTTTGACAGTACAGTATATAAAAATCAAAGAGGATAGATGGAACCTTAATAGAACAAAAAAAATACAAAATAAAAAACAAGTGAACTGAAAAAAAGTTATAGGACTTGTACTGAATTAGTATGGAGCTTGGTACTATATTCCCAGAAAAAATTAACCAGGCTCAATTTGTTTGCTAAATATAAGCTTGAAATAAAGAGCTTAGCAAAATAATTTAAAATAATATTGTAACTTGCATTTTTTTATTTATTTATTTAAAACAAAAGTGTGGTAGATATTTATGCTCACTGGGTAGATATGTTAAATTAATTCCAGCAACACTGCGATACTAAAAAAAGTCCAAAAAGCAGCAACACTTGGTGCGGGAGTACACATCCGATTTTTCCACCCGATAGTCGGATCCCTTTAGGGTAATATTGTTCTGTGGTCGGATCCGACTACCGAAAGACGCTCATACCATTTAATTGTATGAACACTCAATCCGATTATCGCATTGGACGTGACGTTACGTCCGAGTCGGAAATAGCAACCGATTTTATTACAGGTCCGATTGTCTGAAGGCGCGGTCTCTATACATTTGCGGGGAGACGAAATACACGTCCGATTCTTCCCTCCGATTTGCAGCGCTGCCAATGCAAATTATTCAAAGTCCCCAAAAATCAAGGTTATAAATTTGGAGAGAGCAAAGGTCATATTTCCCACATGTAGTAATATGTATTCATTGTCAGTATTTATTATATTATTATTGTTATACATAAAAATATATCAAAAAATTAAGAAAGTTTAAATGTGCCCATCTATACATATACGTTATGCTATAATTAGAAATAAACTCAACAAGCTTGATGAGTGGCAAGTTGTGGTATTAAGGTCTATCCACACATACCCAGGACATGGACAGGCCGCGGATATGCAATTTTCACTGAGTTGCAAATTTTTGATAGCTCTTCCAAATAAATATTTTCTTGATTCTTGAGACTTCAGGATAAATTATTATTGTCGTTGCAGTGGTTGTTGTGGAACTTTGGTGTGGGTTTTTGGATATTAATATGAAATTTAAAACGGGGAAAGGAAATCGCGGAATAAAAATAAAAGCAAACGGAAACGGAAAAAAAAGGGAACCGAAACGAAACGGAAAGGTGATCAACAGGATAGAATAGGTAGTAAGTATATTTATAGGTAAATCTAAACAATGAAGGACTGAAATTATGACAGAAAATAGAAATAACATGGTAATAGCTGAAAATAATTGGATAAATAATAATCTAAATTTTAATATCATTTTTCCTTATAAACTGAGCCAACACATTGTAAACGGAATAATTATTATACGATAATAACAGAGGAATAGATATTGGTAAAGGAATTTGTAAAGAAATTATAGATTGAAAAAACAAAGCACGGTCATATCTTGGACAGGAAAAGAGAAGGTGGTATAGACTGCCAATGTCTTGTTCGCATTCGCATATTGAATCAGGTATTATATTAAGTCTAGCAAGATGTTCAGATGAGCAAGTATGTCCTAATCTCAATCTGGTAATGATTGAAGTAACACGTTCCTCAAAATATATACGCGAAAACCAGAGTTTGGCCGGGATTTCGGGCTGTATATCACGAAAATACCTACCCGTAGTTTTATTGCTTGTTTCTCACACAGTTTGCTAAGATTCTTTAAGATAAATAGCAGGTAGTGTAGCCAAGTCATGAGCAAAGTTTCTCCATAAATCTACATCGCCGTTATTTACTGCATCTTTAGCTAACATATCGACTCTCTCGTTACCTCTAATATCACTGTGACTTGGTATCCACACAAATAATACAGAAAGACCCTTTGAATGGCATGGTATTACAAATCCCTAACGATTTTCTGGAAATTGCAGGTCAAAAATAATTTGTTTTTAATTCAGACTTTCTAGATTTTGAGAGCTTTTTACGAAAAAAAAACAACTAATAGCCTGGTAAAATTTTCCATTTACCACTACAGGAACAACTCTTTTTTATAAATTGTCAACGTTTTAACAACTCAAATCCGGCCGGATCGAAGGATTCGTTTTTCTTATTTTAAAGGGGCATTCTTTACCTTGCATTGCAGTTCGCCTTGCCGTCGGCTGCGTAATACTGGATTACGAATGTATTCGCAGCGTGCAAGCCATCATCAGCTGCAATCCTGTAATGCGTTTTGCGAGACTCCATACCTAGACCCTAAACAGAATAGTGTGTGAGCAGTCTCCGCAGCCCGCCGCCATGCAGAAGATAGTGAATGGGCCGCCCAATACAAATATAATAATAACAATAATAACAAATGGTCCCTTTTATGACTACTACATGTATTACATGATTGTAAAGCTTTATTGTATCAGATTTTTGTTGATAATGTAGTAAAATGACCAGTAACATAATCTGCCGACACAAGCATAAATTGTTGCGAACGTAATGGTTAGCGTGATCGTGGCCAATAAGGTGACATGTTCGCCGGTCCATAAGGCTCTTACCAAAAGGTAGATATTTTCTAGAAATTGATTATGGCTCATCGGTTAGTGAATGCCTAATTTGTACTACTTAAAATCATACAAGGATCGGTTGTCTTTTTTAATGGCTCAAGTCATTGGGTGTCCAAGTAAAAGTTTACGCAACTGTCAGGAGAAAAATCAAAATGGAAAGGAGAAAGAAGGATGGCGAAAGCTGACTAAAATCAACGAAGTGCCGTTCATAGGTCACAAAATACACGGGATGACGCCATCCTTCTTTGTCAGAAGTGAAACATTTGTAAAGTATATAAGACCATTGAGATGAAATGAATGTTTGCTCCTGCGACTTCCATAAAATATCATCCAGAACCATAAATACATTGTGAATTATCATACGTTTGTGCCGGCACAGGATTTCCTAGATACATAACATACATACATACATCACGCCTGTCTCTCACCGGCGTAGGCAGAGACCATGAACCTCCACGGATTTACCTGATATTTTAATAAAATTGTTTTGGAGAATTGTGATGATTCAAATTCGTTTTCTTTTATCAATGCACTAATAAAAATACCTTTATGCATGTATTATCTATATATCAGGGTGGAAAAAATGAATGGGACATGAAAGGGAAGTATCTTAAACGCTTGAGATGGCTAATTTTTCTTTAAGGAAACATTCTTTTATTTCTCTTAATATAAATAACTGCATAATTTGTAAATATACATATACTTTAACAATTTCGAGTAGTCGGCAAAAGAAAGCAATTTGCATATTTAGTCATTAATACCTTCGTGTACATGTACTTCGTGTACTTCACATTAGTTTCTTGGAGATATTTCATCCTTATTTTTGTTCCTATTTTGTTTTTTTAATTTATTAAGGCTTTGGCAAAGCCATCAGCCTAAACATGAAGTTTAATTATGTCTCTGTAAATATGGCCGCCACAAAGAGGATAGGCAATTTGAGGCGGCGTGCTTGGATTGACTCGGGATTCCTTAAAACGGGCCGATACGGGTATTTTAGTTCGAGATTCGTATAATTTCGCGTTTTAATCTTCGATTAAGGCACAATAGCACTATCCTATTCCACTTTAAACTAGATTTCACAAAATAATTGAAAGTCAAAATAAAAACGACACTTTTCCCTCCAAAAGATCCAGAGCGAATCTTATTGTTCCTATCCATTAGAACAATAAACTAGTGGATGTTGATTTTTTTTGCATTTTTAGTTGGTTCGATTTCCGGTCCAAGCCAGTTTTTCAAAATTCTTTGAATGCAGTTATTCATGTTAAGAAAAAAATGTTTCCTGTATGTAAAGTAAAATTAGATATTTGAAGCGTACTAAATCTTCATGTGCCATTGATTTATGTGTGTAGGTACATAAAACTTTATGTTATACTCTTTCCGCCATAGGTACTTTTGATTTCAGTAATAAATTACATGTTTTAAATTCGGAACTTTAAGTAGACAAATAATGACAATTATCCGTCATTGTAGGTAGAGAATTGTCAAAGAAAAATAATTTAAAATTCAGTTAAGTCATTCATAAAGAAATGGAATTTTGAAACAAAAATAATGCCCGTTGATCTAAATGCTGACTGCGCCTGTGGCTCACCCGTAAATATTCTTCTTATTTATTTAATTTTTATTTTAGTCTGTGCGGTACTTTAAAATTATTCTATAAATTAATCTTGTCCAAAGGCTGCACAGTAGATAAGTTTCTTATTATGTTCCAATAGAAATCAAAATATATAATTGATTTAGTCCCTAGTCTTGATATTTGGAATTGTATTACCAATATTACCATGCATATTTAAACGCCCATTCACTACCTGATAAGAGACTGCTTACATCCTACGTATGGCTCTCGTAAGGAGCCTCGCAGGGCGCACATTGCAGGCTAGTAGGATGGCTTGCACGCTGCGAATACATTAATAATCCTGCGTTACGCGGCAGACGGCAAGACAGACTGAAATGCAGAATAATGAATGTTTCCTTTTATTCAAGGAATTAAACATAGCGCACAGGGAAGACGGTATTTTTGCCGGATTTTACTTTTACAAGTTTTTACTGGTTTTTATGGTGTAGTAATTTAATCGTATGTGAGTTAACAACACTAGTGTTGCAAGATAGAAATTAAATTAAAAAGATAACCTGTCAATTTTCCTGCGAAGCGAGTGTAGAGGATTCGTTCTTCGTCTTTTCGCGATTTCTAAATAAAAAGCAGTACATTAGGGACTGAATTAGAAGATTGTCAAACAAAGAAACCTGGATTAGTGGTATATCATGATCGTTGACTTGACTGATGAATTGGAGCAGAGCGATAGCGGCATGGAATCTTTGACTGCGAGTAAAGATGATACCCCGGAGCGTAAGCCTGACGATAATTTCTTGTCTCCCGGTCCTGTACGTAATTTATCACTTTCTTACGTTAAAATTGCATTTACTAATATAATAAAATCTTTGTTTTCATTTGCAGTTAGGCCCCACATCGTGTATCAAAGATCTTTCTGTAAAAGAATTTGACGACGTAAGTATCCATACATGAATGGTTTCACTCAACTGAACCTTAATTGTGACGATTTTACATGAATATGTATTATTGTAGATTTTTAATACAAAATTTGTTAATGCACCCAAATGCTTACACATGGTAGATATAATTATTATGTCATACTTATCTTCATAGGTTACTTTGATTAAAGCAGTGTCTAAAGATGAGGTTAGCAATAATTGTGTGCTAGCTAATATTGTCGTAAATTATCATTCCGCTGTAGATTAAATTTTACAAAAAATGGTGGGGATAAGATACATAAAAAATGTAACTACTACAATAAATTCTTGACAATGTTCTTCACACTGTAGAATAGCTTTCCAATGCTAATCTTTTTTATTTTCGCTTTGTGCTTGTTGCAAGAAAATCCATAATGAGGACAAGATTGTGTAGGCCACATTATTACATATTGTATAGGTATTAGAGTGAATTTATATTTTAGGAGCCTGATGAAACTTTGAGTGAGAGATTATGGGGACTGACAGAAATGTTTCCAGACTGGGTGCGAAAAGGCACGCACTGCGTAGCTAGCAAGACTTGGTAAGTAGACATTTACATATTGTTTATTAATTGTATGGTATGGTGTGGAGAATTTGCACTTAGCTCATATTCTATGTTAAAATAAAGACGCGATTTCTATGAAATCCAAGCAGGAGTTTCATTTTTTAAAAATATCAAGTGATGGGACAGACAAGTCGTGCATCTGATGGTAAGCTGCTGACATTACTGCTTGGCGGCCGAAATAGGTAAGGTGGTAGTACTTTCCTGGACAAACTTTTTCACAAGGAGCTCTACTGCTGCTAAAAAAACTACAAGGCTCCATCTTAGGACAGACTCTTTACCTCATAAAAACATCAGATGTAATCATATGATGGGCAACTGAAAAGTTTTGAGCCTAGGATATTAAAAATGCCAATAGAAATGTGCAAAAATATCTAATTCTATATGTGATCTCCCTCTACTTCAATGCACTTCTTACATTTGCCATAAATGGCCTTTATCCCAGTGAAAAAATTTGCCATCTTTGCCTTCGAAATGGTTGTCTACAACTGCTTTTTTCATTACTTGAAACTTTTCGGCTACCACTTGTATGCACTATAGCAGGGTATGTAGCTCTTGGGCTTGTGTAGAGGTACTTTCCAATGAGAAACGACGATTATATCATAATTATATTTAATTTCGAAGCTTTGTCCAGAACTACCAAGATGTCTCTTTGACATCAACCCACTACTATTTTTACAATTCTAAATACAAACCTAAGCTGCCTGTCCTACTGTACTAGATTTTAATAATTACTGATTACTGAGCCCATAATTACTGAGGAAATAACTAGCTTAAGTCCTATAAAGAAAGAGTAGTCACCCATACTTATCATATTAACTGCCTCCGTGACCAAATGCTTACCATGCTAGTCTGACATGCAGAGGCCCCGGGTTCACTTCTGGGCGGTGAGAAATATTTGTGTGGCCTACATTTATTTCTCTCGTGAGTTTGGGTGTATTTTGTGATTATCTATGTGTGAGTCCATGGCACCCGCGACATGGTTTCCCTAGTGCGGGACTATGAGTGTGTGCAAAAAAAGAAAAAGAAAATACTAACAAACTGGCTACAGCTTTGTGTGTACCACCACAGATGAGAAGATTAAAGCGTAAACATATTTGGGATTCAACTAACTGAGCTAAATAGTTTTTGATATTAAGGCAACCCAATTTTGGAAGGGTGTGCCTGACATGCCAAAATAACAAAAAATTTACAGCTTATGGTCTCAGAGAGTGGCCCATTACAGTGTCCAAAAATTTTTTTTTTCTATAGACAACTTTTATTGTTATTTATTTGTTAAGGACAATATAAGGTACAAGGTACAATATACAATACATGTATTAACTTTTTAGTAACCACGATTTTTCAAATGGCTTTAAACTACCCAGACTTCACCATGAACCAATAACTTTGCCAACACATTTGTATGCAGTGATAGCTATGTTTTAAACTTTTGTTACATGTCAGTATCTTCTGTTAGATAAATAGTTGGCATTCAAGATAGTCAAATATTTCCTGGGCTCTTACAAACCAATTTGATTGGACTAACTGATTGAAGTCTTTAGTATAATATTTTGGAAGCTCTGCAGAATTTCCACATTATTCGTGCTGGCCTATTCCTACAACGCCATACCATTTTTATGACCAATAACTTATTCTCATCACATGACGTTGACTTTCTACCCATTGTCCACAGCAGCATAAATCTCCATTTGCTGTTAATGTATGCCATTCTACTTTGATGTAAGCTATCCCATTGACCTATGGCTCTCCAAATTAGCCAGATGCACTCCCAGTATTACTCTCTTCACAGTATTAATATGCATTGGTATAGTTGTTAATTTTTACTTCTGGGTAGTTTTCTTTATTAAGTGTAAAATTTGTTCAGATTTTTGGGAATTGTCTTTATTTATAATCTTCCATGTTGAGAGCCTCAGGTTGAACTTGGCAAATTGAACTATTTACGCGATGCAACTTGGGGTTTATCGACACAGGTAAGTACCGCAGAATCGTTTGTGTAAGTCGCTGTGTGCGCCTATTAGTTTCTGGTAGATCCTGTATATACAGCGTTTTCAATGGAAATGGGACCCCAGTACTGCCCTGAGGCACACGAAGCATGGATGTTGTGAATCTGAAATACTGCTTATCCATATTGTACATGCAAAGAACATCCTTGTCGTTAGTACGATTTGAGTATGACATTTTGTGTATGAGGTAAATTTTTTTGAGCTTGAAAAGCAAGCCTGCATTCCATATCTTATCGCAAGCTTGCTAGATATCAAGAAAGACGAGCAATACTGCTTTGCCTCCATAGATTGT